TGTCTGGCACATGGCGTACCAGACCTACATGTGTCGGGCACATGGCACACCATGCCTACCATGCCTAGTGCTCACCAACCCACAAGACCTACTTGGTTACTGCCGCCCGGCATCGTTGCCTGAAGCCGCCTGGCCTTGACCAAGAGGCACACACTCATCTGTAGGCTGTCCTGGGCGGCCAGCACTGGCTCTGTTGGAGCTACACATGAAAGAATCAAGTTTCCGAACCACTCACATGGCGCACAGTGTGACAGTCCTGTCTTTGGCAGCTGTGAGACTGTCTGCACCATGACTTGCCAGCTTATAAAGGCCCAGTCATATTTATGTTTAATATTTAAGTATTTAGGGAGTCATGTTGAGAGAAAAAATTAGTAAACCTCACGGGATTGTAATACCCCTGGAGAATCTGGAACTTGGGGTTCTAGTAATGGTCGCAGGTATGTAAGAAATGGATTTCCATAGGGAGGGAGCAGAGGGTTTGCTCATCAAGCCCACAATCATGGAATGGTAAATCGAGAGCAGTGTGACAGCCAGGGCCTATTTCTAGAAAGTGATGGGGTTGTTTACTTTTAGGAATAGTTTATGAGAGCTAAAACCCACTACCTCCTCTTCTAAACAATACTTCAACTGAGTCGTTGAACTGGAAATTAATTGGATACTAATTTGTTCTCAGCTTATGCTTTAATGAGCTTATAGTTCTGTGTATTTAATTTGAAAGTGCATTTGATAAATACTCCATTAAAACTAAATTGAGACTCAGAATGAGTGCATTTGAAATTTCAGAGGTCAGTAATCAAGACTATTATCATTTGCTTTTTAATTATTTTTATTTATTTAGAAGAGAGAGAGAGACTGACCTCCCATCCCCCCGGCTTGCTGCCCAGCTGCCTGAAAAGGCTGGGCTGGGCCGGGCCAGAGCCGGGGGCCTGCAGCCCACCCAGGCGCCCCACGCCTGTGGCAGGTTCCCACAGAGCCATCCTCTGCTGCGTTGCAGAATGCCTATGCACGGGGAACTGGAGACGGAAGCAGAGCCGGGTCCCAAGCTCAGGGTCATATGGGATGTGACCACACAGCATGTGAGCTGCCGCCCCGGGTGTCCACCCCTTGGTTTGAATTTCTTAGCCAGTGCTTGGATGCCTGTAACAATAGTCCACGTTTCTCTAAAACAGGAGAGATTTTATATTGTGTAGGATGCCAAGATTGATTGTGCACAGAGCCCTGTGGCTCCAGTCCCCCCACCCCAGACACAGGTGCCACTGTAACACCTGCTGTCTTTTCAGTGTTTGAGTGTCCTCAGCTTGGCATGCTGGCCACCTCTGTGCAGCCAGGCCCCTCTGGCGGTGATGAACCAATTATGAGTTCACAGAGTGTTATCCTCATGCTTCCCCTCAACCTGGACTCAGGCATCTGGGTGCTGGGAAGCAGGGGCATACAGCCTTCAGGTTATCTCACGCAGAGGCTGGGGACAGTTAGCAGCGGGCTGGACTCCACCATGGCCTGGGAAGATAGCATGGGCTGGGCAGCCTCCACAGGTGCCAGGGATCCTCTGCTAAGACACAACCTGTGGCAGAGCCAGCCTTGCCAGGCACCATGCTGTACCTCCTGCACCTGAGCCTTGTGGTCAGACCACTAACCAGAACTGTCACTTGGCCCTGTTGTCCCTGCCTTTGCACGTGCCTTCTCCTGCACTGGCCCCTGGATGACCACCCAGGAAGGGGATTTCAAAAAGAAGCCCACGAGGCTCTCGTTGTTTGCATGTAATAGGATCAACAGCCAAGAAAATCCAACTTACGCTAAAACTCTTAAACTGAGGAGATGTTCCAGCAAGATGGTTAATGAAGACAACTTATAGAATCAGAAACGTTCCTTTATTTAGAAAACAACAGCATGAAAGACCTAATAGAAGAAGGAAAATGTTACTCATGGTATCAACAAACCTATGTGCCACCTTCGCATGAACTTGGCAAGAACTTTCCAATAGGCACCTGGGATACAAATCAAGCTAAACAAATTCTTAAAAATAACCTTATTAAAAGGAGAGACCTGCCATGCATGTGATTGGGAAAGTTTGCTTGTGAAAATCCAAGTTGATCCTAAACGGACTCATGCTTTGAGTGTAATCCAAGCTGAAATCTCAGTGTAGATCACATTTTTCTGAGATGTACCCGAAAGAAGACTGGCAATAACAGCCTAGAAACGTTGAGAAAAGGGAACAGTACCCTAAGAAAGGTGTGCCAACACAAAGAGCTCTGCCATGTTCTGCACATCCTACCACAGAATCCAGTTCAAATGGGTTAGAGATCTCAATGTGAGAGCCAAGATGATGAGATTCTCAGAATGTAAGGCTGGATCTTCACAAACTTAGGTCAGATTTTTGGCTAGAGCACCCGCAGCACGGACAACCCAGGGAAGGGCATAGATGGACGTGGCCTCCATAGACACCCAAGCAGGTGAGACACACGCAGTGGGAGCTCAGGTCTGCTGAGGGCCCGGTACCCAGGAGAGGAAGAGCCCTTGCGACTCAACCACTAAGTCACTAACTCTGTTTAGAATTAGGGGAGAGTTAAGCCGACGTTTCTACAGAGGAGATGGCACATGGTCATCTGCACAGGAGTGGCAGTTAACATCCTTAGTCTAGGGAGATGAACAAAAATCAAGCTGGGACACTATTTCACATCCCCTAGGATGCCTATAAGTGAACAAAGAGATGCTAACAAGGGTTGGCCTGGGAGAGGTTGAAACCCTCATTTCTTACGTTGGTGTCAAATGGTCCAGCTGCCTAAGAGAGCAGTTTGGCAGCACTTCTGAAAATTAAACCAAGTGTCCATGTGACCTCACAGTGCCATGTGCCCACATGCCTGCTTACAGCGGGTGTCAGGGAACCCCAGGTCCTCCCAAGAACACATGCGCTAGTGTGCACAGCAGTGGCTGCTCACACTGCCACAAAGCAGAAACAGCTTGTGTACCCGTCGGCAGGAAGAAATGTAAGCAAAAGACTGAACGTCATTGAGCAGTACGAAGCAGTGATGCACTGACACCTGCTACAGCCTGCCTGACCCTTAAGAACACTGCGCTCAGCGAGAGAAGCTGGACACAATTTGTCTGACTCCAGCCCAGGCCCACCTTGCAGACTGCGGGTTCAGCATCAGGCCACGGCATCCAGGGACGTGGCAGCCACGCGAGTCCCGGGGACCTGAGGTTCTCTTCACAGCTGTCATCAGCTGCGTGTGTGGCAGCAGTGTCTCTGAAGACAGCTGGGCATAGTCCTTCACTCAGAAACACTTTGCTGTTTTCAACAGCTAGTGAGCATCTGAGCTGCAGGTGCCAGGAGACTTGCTTGTGGGACTGTCTCAAATCTTCGCTTTCTTGTGCAGTGTCATAAAACAAGTATGTCTGTTTCTGAAACAAACAGAATGGGCAGATCTGTGAGGATGGGTACTGGACCAGCAGCCACCAGTGGCTGCAGAAGGACAAGAAGTGTCTGCTAACACAGATGAGGATTTGGGGAGGAGCAGATACAGGACTGATTAAGTTTATAATAGGGTGAGTTTCTAAAACCTGCTCCTGCTATGATTTTAAAGGGAAAATTTTATGAACAATCATCATCAAAACTGTATGGTGTGATGACACGGGGACAGGTCGGTGGAGGTTTGCCAGTGAACTAGCACAAGGAAGGCAAAGGTGAAGTCACAGGTGCCATGATGAGGTGACACTGTGTCAGGGAGGAAAGGACAGATCATGGGAAGACAACTGGTTTGTAGGGGGAACTGGCTTCCACCCGCACGCTTCCACAAAGCAAACTTCAGACAGATCACAGTGTTAATTGGGAGGCTTGGGAAATGGAAGAGCAAGGACTTATTTATGACCTTTAGAAAGGCTGCTTTAGGCCTGGAGCTAAAGTCCTCACCTTGAACGTGCCGGGATCCCCCATATGGGTGCTGGTTCTAATCCTGGCAGCCCCACTTCCCATCCAGCTCCCTGCTTGTGGCCTGGGAAAGCAGTCGAGGACGGCCCAAAGCCTTGGGATCCTGCACCTACATGGGAGACCTGGAAGAGGCTCCTGGCTCCTGGCTTTGGATCAGCACAACACCGACCATTGCGGTCACGGGCGGGGGGGGGGGGGTGAATCATTGAATGAAAGATCTTCCTCTCTGTCTCTCCTCCTCTCTGTATATCTGACTTTGAAATAAAAGTAAAATAAATTTTAAAAAGAGGCTGCTTTAAGCAATATTCAAACACGCATAACAAGAATAAGATTGATGACTTTGAACTTATAAAAATCAGAAATTCTGAACAACAGGCATACTAAGCAGAGCGTGTTAGTCACAGACAACGTGCTGATGTCCTGCCTGTGTGAGGAACTTCTGGAATTGACAAGAAGACAAGCAGGACAGTGCGGCTCCCCCATGTCCCGCCCGAGGGGCCTTCCAGGGGACCGCGTACTTTGGTGCTTGGTGACACACAGCTCTGCTCCCCTCCTCCCTGCCTCCTCCGTCACTCACACCCACCTGGTCCCTTTTTATAGCAAGGATTTTGCCTGGCAGAACAACTGCCCCCAAACCCTGCCTGCAAAGGGGGGAGTTTCCTGTCGCCATGTGCTTGTGGAGGGGCTAGGTGGGCACCCAGGCATCCAGTGCTCTTGCCCCTGAATGGGTTGAGGCCCTCCCCCAGGGCCCCCCTCATGTGCAGCAGCCCCAAGAGGACCACCAGGAAGGGTACTGCATTTGCACGGCTGCTTTGCCAGTCACCTGCGTACTTGGGGCTGTGGCGTAGCCTTTGTTCAATAGCGAAGCTAACTGTGATTGCAGACAGAGGGAAGGAAGTGTGCCTGCCGGGTCTTTCTTTGCAAGCACTGGCATCAGGAAGCAATAGAACCCAGGAGAGTGTCCTCGGGGGACTGCTGGTGATGCCACAGAAGACGGACAGAGAGGTGGAGGAGGGCGGGCTTACCAAGCGTGGGAAGAGCTGATCACCTGACCTGCTCTCTCTTCTGCCCTTAGGGTCACTGTTACTACCACGGTCATGTGCGAGGAGACGCTGGTTCCGCCGTCAGTCTCAGCACTTGCTCTGGTCTCAGGTAAGTGGCTGAAAGCACAGCAACCGTGGGCGAACTGTGTGTCTTCCTGTGCCCCCAGGCCCTCGGAGTGAGAGATGGGGTCCCCACATGGCCACGCCCCCTGTCACTGGGCTCCCAAGCCCACACCGTCCCTGCCCCAGGGCTGGGAGGCACAGGCTGGCGTGGTTTTCACTCTCACACAGCCTGTGGGATCCTGGATGTGGCCCTCAGGCCTAAGGGCCTCAAAGCCAGGCCTCGGGGGTCAGTGCCAAGGCAGATGCTTCAAAGGGCCTCCAGTGGGGAAGTGAAGCAACTGCTCTGACCATAACAGAGGCGAGTGGAATCCAGGTGGGCTAGGCAGGGGCTCATGGTCCCTGCCAGCAGCAGCAGCAGCAGCCATCCTCCAGGCTCCCGGGAAAGCCATCTCCCATGCAGCCCTTGGCTGCCGTGGCCTTTCCGGGCCTGGAGAAGCTGAGCCTGGGTCCTCTGAGTCCGAGAGGTTTGGGCCAGTGGTGGTAAGCTATGGCTTTGTGAAGAAAGAGGGAGAAAGACGCGGGAGAGGGTGTGGGTTGAGCGTAAGGCAGGGCAGTGCGCTGTGCTCCGGAAGGGAGAGCCTTGCCTCTGAGCCCTGTGTGGGACCCTGAGAAGGGGAAGACTCGGGTGTGGTACACATGTGGCATCATACACCGCAGCACACACTTGACATAGTGCTACACACCACACAAATTATGGCACACACAGCACAAACGCAAAGTGCCACATATAGCACATGGCAGCCTCAGGCTGGGTCACGTTTGGCCTGGCTAAGTTGAGGGAAAGCCCTCTGGCTCCAGCGGGGCAGAGGGGAGCACTGTGAAATAAATGCTCGTGCCTGGAGTTTGAGAGAAGGCAGAGGAGCAAGTGCAGGGCATCCCCACCCCTTGGCTGGTGGGGATGGGAGGCGCAGTGGGGCCCCCATGGCTCCTTCCGCAGTGCCCCGGAGAGCCCCACTGCCCAGGGCTCTGTGCTCTGCTTAGAGACGCAATGGACCGTGCGTCAACAGAGAAATTCCTGAGTCATGCAGTCAAAACGATGATCTCATGAGCGGAGACTCGGACCCCAGGGGGGAAAGCTGCACTCCATCAGCTGCTCACTGACAGCAGAATCGATCGGGACTGGAAATAAAAGGGAAACGCAGCCTCAGGGGTCCTCGCCTGGGAGACGTGAAGGAAAAAATCTGCGGTTAGAAAGTGTGTTCAATAGCGCGTGCTCCCAAGGCACATTTAAGGTCTAAGATTGGGGAGGGGGTTCCTCCAACCCCAGAGGACACAATGAGATTGGGGGAGCCCCGCAGAGAGGATGCAAGGAGGTGGCCCGCCAGGTGTCAGGCAGGCAAGGACAGGTCCTGTCCTGGACCAGCAAAGAAGGAAGAAGAGAAACCCCACAAGTCATCATTCAAAGCTGAAAGGGAAGCAAATGAGGGGGCAGTGCAAGGTGGAGAGGGGATGGCAGGTGAGGAGGCCAGATGGAGGGGAGCAGTGCAGGGTTGGAGAGGGGATGGCAGGTGAGGAGGCTGAGTGCAAGGGGGCAATGCATCCTTCGTGGGTGCCTGCATCCTTGTCTGAAGGCACCTGACCTTGCCCCACCCCCTTTGCAGGAAGTTTCGAGGGGAGCCACCCTCCTGCTCTGCCCCTGACTACAGGTGGGAACACCCATCATCAGGTGGGCCTTGGAAGTGGGAGATTGGCAATTTGCTCCTGCCCAAGTACACACTGAAATGTATTTCTTGGAAGCTTTGTGTTGGCTTTCCATCTGTGTTGTGATGTAACTGCCCCCATACCATTCAAAAAGTCATCCATCGAGTTGTCATAGGGTGGAGGTGGCCAATGTGGTGGTCAGTGAAATCAAGGGTCACCATTCTAATGAACGTCATGTTTTGCAAGTCAGCCGTCAGGGAAAAAGCAAGCCTCACCCAGCAAGTGTTGCATGTAAAGAACAGACTGAATGGACGCCTTCAAAGAACTCTGACCAGGAATCTCAGCTGAGATTCCAAAAGCAGACCAGAATCTTGGGAGGCAGGCGGTCTGCAGGCTCAGGCTACTGCCCGTGGCTGTCACTGGGCCACTGTCCCCCTGGCTCCTGGTGTCTCATTGTGGAGCACCTGGCCAGGAAGTCTAGGGCCCAGAAACTCAAGCACGTGAAAAAGCCGTGTGGTCACTTTTCTGTCTGCCAGACCAGGAGTTCCAAGAAGCGATCAGGAACTCCACACTGCTCGACCTCAGAACTGGAGATTCCATGTCCCCAGGGAACCGTAGTGGAACCCATGGGTGCTGCACCCAAGTGCTCAGCAAACCTGCCTCGTAGCCAGTCCCGAGGCTTATAAACTCGTCACAGTGCAGCCACTGCTACGGAGGAAGGAATCAGCCTGGAGTGCACCTGCTCACTGGGAACAGTTGCCCCCTTGGCTTCTGCGACCAGCTCCTCAGCCTCTGGGCCTCTGGCCACGCCGCGAGCCACAGCTCTGTGCCACTGCCCCACTTCCAGTGCCTTCTTCCTAGGTAAATGTGTAGCAGAGTCCAGCTGGGTTAGGAACCTTGCAGCCCTGTCCTCCACCCTGAAGGACGCCCAAGGTCACGTCCCACACCTGTCCCAGACCTCACTCTCAAAACTTGAACGAGTGAAATCCAAGTCCCTAGGTTGGTGCCTCCACCTGACTCCCCACCTGACCTCTCTTCCATAATGAGTCCATGCTGTCCCAGGTGACTAAGCATGACTCCTGGGGACCTGCCAGGGACCTCACTCAGCCACTCAGGACCCACCTGTGCTCCCCTTACGGCACCCCTTCCACCCCGTCCTCCCCTCCTATCCCCACCCTTGTTCAGTCTCACTCAGATTTTCAGAAGTGCCCCCCTCTGTACTCTCTGCCCCGAGTCCTGTGCTCAACCTTCTTGCACATTCAAGATTGCATCTTGACTCCTGCCCTGCCACCCCCGAAGCCCCGTGGCTCTCTGAGGCCTTGACGCCAAGCCTCCCGCCCACCCACGTGCTTGCTCTGCAGCACTCCTACAAATATTTATGTGTCACTTCCTTGCTCAGTGGCCACCTGTTGATCAGGCAGGTGCTGTTTCCAACCCATGCGGTAAGTACTGTGACGTTATTGTGTACAAAACTGCAGGGGAAATTCAGCAGACAGAACCTAAATGCCAGGGACCTGGACTGGGAAGGGCGTCACAAATAGAAGTCTCTTTCAAGTACTCAGCACAGCCAGAGATGTGACCACCGACAGGTGCAATCCAAGGACTTGATGGCACCTCCTGGGTTGGACGAGAGCAGAGTCCTGGCAACTGAACCTTTCGTGGATAAGAGGCAGGGTGCCAGTCTGCCAGGTGCCAATCTGTGGGGGAGTGCCTAGAACTGTGAGCGAGGAGGTCACAGAGCAGGTGGCAGCAGAGGGGGCACCATGAGGGACCCTGGATTCCATTCTCCTCTTATGATTCCAGTAATCACCTTCCCTGTCCCACTGTTTGAAAGAGTAACAGAGAGAGAGATCTTCCATCTGCTGGCCCACTCTCCAGATGCCCTTAATGCCCGGCGCCAGGATTTGGCTTGAAGCAGGAGCCGCAGACGAGGCATCTTCGTTGTGTCCAGTCAAGAGCCTTGTCCGTCAGAGAGGAAAAATGAGTTTCCTGGGTGGTTCACATGAACATTCCTGAGAATGCGCCCGTGGTGCCCCTGTGGTCACTGATTTTGCTGCCATCCTTGGTGACAGGCACTTACTTCTATCACCAAGTTCCTTCCAAAGAGCATGGGAGGGGCGTCCCACGCCGGCGCCTGGCTCGCTGTGACTGACAGCACGGTGTTAGGACCATGATGGTTACTTCCCATGAGATGCACCTGGCGGCTGAAAGCTCCACCAGCCAGGATCATCCTGATCTGCCAATCCCTGTTTGCCTGGGCATAGTAAGAAATTTCGCAGAAGACCCAAAGCACTGAGTCTTGCCCAGTGTAGCCTCGCTTCCTGGAGGAGTGACCCGCTGTCCGGAATGGCAACTGCTTCTTGAGGAGTGAAGGTCTGGAAAGCCAACAAAATCAACTGCAAGCTGTCATTGAAGCTGCCTTCAGGGAAAATCAAACGAACTCTGCAATGCCAGGGAGTCTGCGGATTTTCAAAGCAACAGTTCTGGTTCTCCAGCCCCTGGCTCTCTTGGTTCCTCCGTCCACTGGCTCCCTCATTCCTCCCCAAATAGCCCTGGAGGAGGCTTGGGAATCCCATGGGCACACAGGTACAGACTGGGTTCCTGGCTCCTCCTGGAGCCACCTACTGCTGACAGAGTGTTCATGTTGGCTCCAGCTGCAGTGGCAGAGTAATAAGCCTGTGTGCAAGCCCAGAGCCTTGATCCTGGCAAGGCCCTTGAAGGGGTGTCCTCACGGACACTCAGCCTCAGCCGAGATCCTGCGGGGATCTGCCCCAGTAGACTCTGCTGCCTTTCTCCCCTTCTCGACAAAGGGGAGACAAGCCTGCTGGCGTTACAGTCCGTGCTTTGAGAGCCTTCCAAGTTGTAAGTTTATGGCTGAATATCTATGACATGCAACTTAAAACAAATTGCATTTCCTTATCTAACTGGGGGCCAGCCAGGGCTGTGAGAACATCAAAATTTTATGTCTCAGAAACCCTGAGTGCTTGAGTGCTGTGTATCCACAGTCATTTCCAGCAATCTTCAGAGCTAAATGATTAATTATACCCAAGACAGTCCCAAGCAATTATTTAATTATGCTGTCCTGTAGGCTGCCAACTGTTTGGAGCAAAGAAAAGGCCTTCACCCCAGTTTCTCAACATCTGGCCTTTGGATGGCTTAAAAGATAAAAGGAGATAGGAGAGCATTTTTATGGCTTAAGTAACAATTTTTAGAAATTTTCCACTAAGTAGAAAAACTTTCTCAGTGATGTGCTTCTTGTGATTAGAATGTGGTAACATTCTTCACTCCCAGTCTCCGGCTGTATTGAAATCGGCATCGCAATGCAAAGTGTGTCATTTTTCTCTTCTAGGAAAGTCTGTTTTCTAGCAAATCTGTAATTCCCTATTCAACTATTTCCCCTTGCCTATATTTTTAAAACTTTCTGTCTTAATTTAGGCTTTAAAAAAAATTTTGGTTGGTTGATCAATTTGAAAAGCACAGCAACAGAGAGAGAAGAGACAGAGGAATCTTCCATCACCAAAATGGCTGCAATAGCCAAAGCTGAGCCAGGCTGGAGCCAGGAACCAGGAGCTCCTTCCTGGTCTCCCATGGGTGGCAGGGGCCTACGCACTGGGACCACCTCCACTCCCTTCCCAGCTACGCTAGTACCTAACTGAAATAGAGGCAAAGCAGCTGGGATCCCAACCTGCCCCCCAATATGGGATGCTGGTGTCTCAGGTATCAACTCAACTTGCTGCCCTGCAGTACTGGCCCCTGAATTTAGGATTGTAAAAATCTACTTGAGTGAATAAAAGTCCTCCCTACTCATCCTAAACACAGAAATTTAAGTTATATTGCATTAAGAATGTGCCAAAGAAGGAGTCCGTTGTAGCCAAGTCCCATAGAATGATCTGCTCGGAGGGGTTTCCGGATACTAACGGGGGGGGGGCAGGAAAACAGCTTTGTGGAATGAGTTGTCACCAGTCTGTGGCATCCGAAAGCACAAGGAATCTTCACAATGGAAACTGTATGGAAAAAGCGATGTATGGATTTCAAAATTTGTTGGCTCCAAAATAAACCCATTTTTAATCCTATTTTCCCACAAGCTGTTTGAAGCAGTCTCATAAGCCAAAGCAAGTCGCTCCAAGCCGTGTTGGACTTGGCCCATCTCCTTGCACTCAGCCCTCACAATTCCTGCTGTTGCACAACTGAGTTCTCAGAGTTTTCCGCTCATCCCTGTGTTCGGTGCCAGTCTTCCAGGCGTGATCCTTCTGCTTCTCCCACTGCCGGTTACAACTCCTGAAATGGGATTGGTGGCTCAGCCCCAGAGTGCTAACAAGCTGAGTCCTGCTCAGCAGGGCCCTGTGACTAATCCAGCCCTCTTCCTTCCCTGCCTTCGAAATGCTGTCATTCCATTAAGATTTACAAATGACTCAACAGTCGCACACCATTGGGCCATCAGTCAGTGTTGGCTGAACCAATAATGAAAGCAACAGCTGAGCTAGAATAGATGGCTAGGAGCACCTTCCAAAGTCCAAGTGTGATGTCATCAGCCACTTGTGCAGGCCACGGTGTGTTCAGGCCTGCAGTCACTGCTCTGTACTCTCGAGCTGTTGGAACCAGAGCTCTAAGCCTGCAGTCGTCAGTCCTGAACCGGCTGCAGTGATCCGGAAGTTGTGTGATTGCCTGGATTGTTCTAGGGAGAACCTAAGGAGGTGTGTGTCTCCTACTAAATTCCATGATGTGGCAATGGGGAAGAGATTCTGGCCAGTGAGCTGAACCGTGGAAGGTGCCAGATGCGTGGGATGTGGAAGGGGTCGTGGTGCACTGTTCATGAGTGCCAGTCTCTCAGAGACTCTGAGTATCAGGAAGCCCCTGATGGGGTAAGGATGTTACCGTTCAGGGAGAAAGTGATGCAGACACCCCTGAAGGCCAGGGTCCCTGTTACTTGGAGGATGCCGACTCCCATCACTGGAGTGGCCCGTCTCCAGGCAGCAAGGACGCACTCTGCAACCCCACAGTCACAGCGTCATGGGCACCTCTTTCCACGTGACGTTGGCCCTCACTGTTCAAAAGGATTGATGCTTTTACTCCCAAACCTGACCGTTGGCCCAAGGGGTCCTTAATTATTTCATTCCCAGAAGTGCGTTTGTCCCCCTGCATGCTATGTTTTCTGTCACAGAGTCACAGCTGGGCCAGGTGCGTTGACAAAGCACAGGGTTTTCCCGAAGCTGTCCTCTTTGGAATAACACGCTGGCAGAGCCTGGTTCCCACACGTGCCCCTGGCAGGAAAGCCCTCTGCCACTCTCAGACATCTTCCAGCCTCCTGGAGCTAACGCTCTGATGGATGGCACAGCGACTAGGGAGGGCTGCCCTAGCCCCGTTTTACATGTAGGGAGGTCAAGGCTCAGATTCGGCAGCATAGTCAAGGCCACGGGGCCAGTGCATAGCAAAGCGGACGCTGCCTGCCTCTAGGGGCGCCCTTGGCCTCGGGACTGGGCCACCTCAAGCTGGCTGTCCTCAGCGCTGTGTCCATGGGAGCTGGAGGTGAGAACTTAGCCTCCAGCAGGCAGTTCTAAGGCTTTGGCAAGCGCGTTGGTTCCTCCGCCCTCCTGTGCACAGCTCCATGAAATTAAATAAGCAGAATACAAAAGGATGCCAGCTCAGGTTCATCCTTATGTCAGAAATATGACTGATTGGGACACGCACTTTAGATGCAGAAATTTCTTCAAAGAAGACTTCCCTTCTGAATTGCTTTTGCTAATTAATCCAGAGAGACTGATTGGCAGATGAAACACTCTGGTTTGTTCTTCCTGGCGGTGCATCTTTGAGACACAACAAGAAAAAGAAAACCATAAAGCATAAAGACACAACACAGTCTATTCTTTACATTAAATATTTCAAACCGAAAAAAAAAAGTCCTCAGACTTGTTTTGCAAGAGATGTTAAAAAACTGAATCAGCATAAACTGTTCCTCTGACGAGAAGCAGATCCTGCGTGTGAGCTGGCCTCCTGTTCGCACTGCCAGCCATAGACAAGAAGCTGCCCTTAAAATGCATGTATTCTTTTTTGCTTCCATTTCAACAGGGGACTTATAGTGTTTGAAAATAAAACCTACATCCTAGAGCCGGTGAAGAACACAACCTACGGCTACAAGCTCTCCGCAGCGCAGAGCCTCGGGAGCACGTGGGCGACGTGTGGATGGCACCAGAACTCGTCACAGCTCCCTGCCACTCACATGCTCCCACTACCCGCTCGGATGCCGCCCAGAAGGGTATGAGAGAAACCTCCCTTGGTCCTTCTGGGGAACTGGGTGGGGGGCCTCAAAAATAGACACTCAATGCCAGATATCTGGAGGTCTTGTGCCATCTGTGCCCGCCTGGGTGACTAAAACCCCTATTGGTCAGGAGCAGGTGACCCCAGAGACTACATACTGGAATCCCACCACTGCATCGGAAGTGCCAGCCTCCGCCTCCTGGAGGAGCAGGTCACACGGGCCAGAGGGCATTGACATCCGCTCTGCTGTCTTCAGCGAACCCCCACTAGGGACCTAGACCATAGGGTCGGCTCCGTTCTGCAAACAAGATGAAATGGACCCTGAGCCACTCCCAGGCTGCTCTCCTGGAAAAAAAAAAAAAAAACCCATTTCAAAGGTTCCTCACTAGTGAGTTGGTGTGGTGGCAGGGTCTCAGAGTAAGCTGCAGAAAATTCTTGATCTTCGCCACCTGTTCTCATGGTGCTGTACGGAGTGAGTCCCGCTTACCCCAGGCCGTGCTGACCATACCGGCTCTCCTTGTTGACCACACAGTCTGTCTTTTCCAGCCTCCTGTCCCTGTGGCAGCTGGACAGAGCACATTGCCTGTGGGGCACCTGGGCAGCACAGGGACTTCCCTCCCTACAGCGCCAGGAAGCCCCCGCCTCCAACAGTGGAGAATCCTGAGCGAGGACCTACTGTGGTCCTTCCCCACCTTGGCCAGAAGTCTTGGATTTAAATGAGAATGAAACCACATAGGCAACCATCGAAAGTTTCCTGATTTGTTTTCTTTATTTCCAAATTCTGTGTTGACTAAAGCAACAACAACAACAAACTAAACAAAGCAGAAATTCCCTGTCACACGGGTTTCTGTGGCTTGTCTGAGGGCGTGCTCAGCAAGGTACCACTTGACGCAGTGTGTCTTTCTCAGCTTTTTCGTAGACCACTGCTTAACTGTCAACAGCTCATAAATATTCGTCTTGGTTCATTTTAAATCATTTCTCAGGAGCTAAGATAGTAACGTACCACGTAAAGCAGCCACCTGGGACACTGACATCCCAGATGGACACAAGTTCAAGTCCCATCTGCTCTACTTCTGGTCCAGCTCCCTGCTAACGTGCCTGGGAAATGGAACATGGCCCACGCGTTTGGGCCCCTGTACCATGTGGGAGAACTGGGTGTGGCGCCTGGATCCTAGCGTAGGTCTGAGCCATCCCTGTCCATCGTGGCCGTTTGGGGAGTGAACCAGCGATAAGAGATCTCTGTCTCTCTTTCTCTCTCACTGTAAATGCCTTTAAAATAACAAATCAATCATTTTTAAAAAAAGTCTTATTTTAATTTTTTTTTAATTGGAAAGTCACAGAGACAGAAAGATCTTCCATCTGCTGGTTTAGTCCCCAAATGACCACATAGCAGGAGCAAAGCCAATCTGAAGCCAGGTGCCAGGAGCTTCTTCTGGGTCTCCCATGTGGTGCATGGCCCCAAGGCTTTGGCCTGTCCTTTATTACCTTCCCAGGCCACAAGAGGGGCTGGAAGAGAACAGTAGCTGGGATACAAACTGGCACCCATATGAGATTCCGATGCATGCAAGGCAAGGACTTTTGCTACTAGGCTACTGCACTGGGACCTAAAATAAATCTTTAGAAAATAAATATATCATTTCTCTAAGGGTTTTCCTAAATGGTTCTTTCTTATTCTTTAAGATTTATTTATTTTTATTGCAAAATCAGATATACAGAGAGGAAGAGAAACAGAGAGAAAGACCTTCCATCCTATGATTCACTCCCCAAGTGGCCACAACAGCCAGAACTGCATCAATCTGAAGCCAGGAGCCTGGAGTTTCTTCCAGGTCTCCCATGTGGCTACAGGGTCCCAAAGCTTTGGACCATCCTCGATTGCTTTCCCAGGCCACAAATAGGGAGCTGGATGGGAAGCGGGCCGCCAAGATTAGAACAGGTGCCCATATGGGGGAGCCCGGGATGTGCAAACCAAGGACTTTAGCCATTAGGCTACTGCATCAAGCCCCTGTTCTCATTCTGAAAATGGTGCTCAGGCTCTCCAAACACAGCTCTTTTTAAAAAGTTTTATCTATTTATTTGAAAGGCAGAGTTACAGAGAGACAGAGAAGGGAAGGTAGACATAGCTCTTGCATCCATTGGTTCACTTCCCAATGACTGCAACGCCAGGGACAGCCAGGAGCTTGGAGCCGCGGCCAGTTCTCCCGTGGGTAGCAGGGACCGAGGCACTCGGGCCATCCCCCACTGCTCTCCTAGATGCATTAGCAGGGTGCTGGATGGGACGTAGAGCAACTGCAACCCAATCCGTATGTCCGAGGAATGTTGAACTCAGCACACCGCAACACGGCCCTCCCAGTTTCTTGTAACAGACAGGTTGGGGGCTCTCCACGTGACAGTGCGCTATGCTATGGCTCACCTGTGGGAGCGCTGAGTGTGTGTGTGGCCCGGAAGTCCTCTGTCCATCCCTATATTCCCAAGCATTCCTGATGTAAATGCAAAAACCCTGGAACCTCTTTCTCTCTGCTTCTGTTCCATCAAAGGTGGGGAATTGTTCCATGAGTATTGAGGCTGACTTGACCTTAACTGTCGGTGGGCAGGCATACCTAGAGAAACACCTGCTTCCGTGAGCACCTCCAGCTCTGGAAAGTTCTCTTGCTGGGCTTCTGCCCCCGTCTGCAACGGAGAGCTGAGTGGCAGAGGCTACGGGCGTCGGTGCCGCCCTGCTGACAGTTTTGCTCTGGGTTCCGTGATTAAGCTGTAACTTCCCCAGTCGTAAACAAGCAGGACATTTGCAGTTGGCTTGCCAGGTGGGCCGCACTCTGTCTGCATTTTCAGATTTATAACTTGACGGTTTAAATGATACTCGAACCTGTTTCCCATCTCATTTGCAAGCAGGAACTTGATCTGTACTTGCCAACCGCATTTGAATTCTTTAAGCATGTAGCTTTCTAGAACTACGACTGTCACAGTAATTTCCTCTCATTTTGACTTGTGGAGAAATGGAGCGCCTGAATGACAATGTTGCTGTGTTAATAATGCGTATTGACGTGTAAATGAACCTTTAAATTGAAAAGGAACGGCGCGCTGCCCTGCAGTTTGGTTCTGCATCTCTGTCTAGAAACAGCCTGGACTGTTTTATGGAAGAGAAAATGTCCTTGCCTCAAAATGCTTGTTTGTAATGAAAATGGCACCAAACATGATTTTCAAAACACTGGGATCCTCGGGAACTGGAATGACACCGAAGGTTGTTTTCGATGCCTTCCTGATGCAGATCCCAGCCGCTGCCCGAGGAGACCGCACGCCTGTGCCCGCCCCCAGTCAGTGTCACCGCGGCTAATCCGTCTTGTTCACCCATCTTATTCTCTGCCCCCACTAAGTGTTAACTCATGCGGAGATGGGTTTTCTGTGGATGTCTGCGTTTTTTCTCACAAGACTGTTAGGAATAGACGCCCGGGGGACACAGCAGCTCTAGTACAGACCGGAGCTGCTGTTGGTCGTTTTTAGGCTGCCCTGAAAGCCTACGAAGCTCCTGGAAGGGCATGCAGCCCAGGAACTGTCTGCTCCCCACTGCAGACTGTGCGGTCTGGCTCAGAGCCCCTGCACCCACAGGCTCACCTGGGCTTCAAGCCTTCCCCTCAGCCCGTCAGCTGCGCCTTCTAGAGCCCAAACTCATTTTAGCCTCAACAAGCGAGCTGCAAGCACAGATCCCACAGAACCACCGCTGGGGGAAGTCACATAACGCATCCCAGACGCAAATGTAAACACTTGGGCGTTACCCTTTCTTTAGGGGTTGGCACCATCGCTCCCTCTGTTGGTACGGATAATTACAGGGCCAGGGAAGAAAGCCGCTGCCTTCCGCTGGAAGGGGAGTGTTCCGAGGACACACTGGACGTGAGGTCAGGAGTCAGGGCAGCTCACGCTCCCCCGTGCAGCCATGCTGTTCTGTTGCAATAACAGCCCATTGCGTGAGGGTCTTCAGACAGTTCATGGGAAACACATATTGCGGCCAAAACTTGGCATGCCTCTCCACACCCAGGCAGGAAAACAAGCTTACCTTTGAATTCCATTGTCCACAAGCCATTCGAAGCCCCAGCTGCAGGGCTAGCATGAGCAGGAACAGCAGCGTCCATTGTGGGTAGGGTCTAGAACCCACTGAATCTCAGGCCCTGGCCAGGACCTGCAGCCTTTCCCTTCGGGAGGACCAGTGGTTCTCACTCAGGTCCTTGGCTCTTGGGTGCAGTTTCAGTACTGCCTCCTGGGACCCTATTAGCATCTGGCTGTGAGCCTCAGTCTCCATTTTCCAGCCTGTTCTCTCTGTATGTGCTAGGCAGGCATGGGGTCATATCCCGTGGGTATGGTCAGTGTCACATCCCCACACAAGTCCCTGGTTAGTGGCAGACTAGGGAACAAGCCTGAAGGCTCAGCTTAGCGATGAGAGTCAAGGCCAGCAGCTGAGAGTGACTGCTACTGGTTCCTGGCTGGTCCTGCCAGCTGGGGACGCCGGGGCCCTGGGCCCATTGTTAGGGTTGTTGGTCATGGCCCGGTTCTGCCTCCCCTGCCTGGCTTGAAAGTGTTCACCCAGCTCCCTTGTTACTGCCCTCGCCGGATAAAGCCCTCGTGCTGCTCTCCTGGACCCTCATCACCATCCTGGTCCTCTGGTCTCCTGGCAGCCACAGTGATGCTTAGAAATCTCCCCATGGGGCACTCCAGCTGTTCAGAGCTGATGAGAGGTTTGCTCTGCCTCCCTGCTGGGGCGGGCCCTGGTCCTGACCCTGCCACCATCCGGCCACATCTCCTCCACTCCTTCCCTCCATGTTGCTCTGCTCAGCACCAGGACTTCCTGCGGCTGCCATTCCACGCGCCCGAGCGTACTCCACACCTGCTTCTCCCGCTCCTGCAGCGAGCACAGCCCTTCGCTGCCCCTTGCTCGTGTCTCTTGCAGAATCCTATTTCACAGATGCCTTGCTTTCCGTGACTGCTTCCCTGCCTCCCTCCTCCTGAGCCCACTAGAATGTGGACTTGGTGAGCACAGGGACCTTGGATTTGTGGTCTGTGCCCAGCATCCCACGTGGAGCGCTTCTAGTGGACAAGTGTCAACATCCTAGCTCACGTGAGGAAGGGACTGGCCAGGAGAACTTGTTGTGACCCTGATCTTGGCTGGCCTGTCCAAGTTCACATAAAAGCGGCTTCCTCTTGGGCAGCGCTCACAGAATGCCTCGGTTTCCCCTGGAAACAGGAATAGGGGGCTGTTCTCCCTGGCTTTAGGTCCTGTTTGGGAAAGGGCTTTTATTTCCAAACACCACCCCCCACCCCACCCCACCAAATGAAAATCCAATCGGACAGCCAGTTTCAAATGTTGGTTTCCATATCACAAATTTAAATATGATTCATTAAAAAGAAAAACTGGACAGCCAGCTCGGTAGAAGTCATGTGAAGGTCATTCAAGGCTCTTCCTGTGTGTGCCGCTGACAGGGGACGAGCCGCTGTGGCCTGGAGCTGGCCGCTGCCCCTGTGCTTTTTATTATGATGTGCTTAAGTTTCTCTCTCAGTTTGCAATTCTCCAAATTCATGAGAAAATGTGGACTTCTCTGAAAACTGCAGAGACAGGAAAATCGTGTCTGGGTGTTTGTTTTCGTTATCTGGATCTGTGTGTTTTCCAGATGACCAGGCAAGGCCAGTCGGTGGCCAGGCGAGGCCAGTGGGAAGGAGCCCTGGCCTGTTCGTTGCAGCTTTCTGCAGTCTGAACAGCCAGAGCCTTTTCCATGACAGATTAATGCACTTCTCCATTTTCTAGAGCAATGGATTTCTCTGTGTAATTAGCCGAGTTCATTCATGGTGAATCAGGGATTTGTGGACCAGAGAAAGCTGTCCACTTCTTTCGCCCTCGGGTAAGGGCAAGGGCGAGATATTCTCTTGGCACCAGCGGGGACGTGAGCCACCCATCATTAGGACTGCTGAGCACCCGCAGCACAGCCCTGTGAAGTTTGCGTTTTCTCGTGGGAACGCTGTAGACTTCACGCCCTTCGGGACGCTCCTCTCTGCCTTCCTCCATAAGGGTTCCGGATTCCGCCAGGGACACCTGAAGCCGTGGTTCAGCACAGGTGGGCAAGTGGGCTGCCTACCACAGACATTGTTCTCTTACGAATCTGGAGGATCCGGGAAGGAGCAGCGTTCACTTGTTAAAGATGCTTCCCCCAGGATTATGTGACTGGCACGCGGCGCTCCTCTGGGCTCTTGCCTGAACAGCCAGAACACACCGGTTTGCAGCTCCAGGCAGGCTTGCAGCAGGCTCTGACGGCAGGCCCAGCCCCCTCCCATTTCCCGCACCGCTCTTTATTGCAGATACATTGTTGGCTTCTCATGTTGCCTTTGGAGACCACCCTCTGAGCTGTTAGGTTTCTCTGAAAAACTGCCTTTGCCATCCTCCCGTAGTTCGTGGGAGAGGTTGGATGCCTTGTGAGGAAGTTTGGTGAAAATGGAACCTGCCTCCAAGGTGGCACCCACCACTTCGACCGAGGTTCACGCCTGCGTTGCCACAACCTTCTGCAGCCCAGCTTTCGTCCCCTCCCCGCCAGCCGCTGTGCGCCAGGGACACAGCTTAGCCCTGTCTGGGCCCGCTCACCCTTTCTCTTTTCCTTGCCACTGGTCCGTCTGCCCACCTGCTGCTTCTCCCACCTACGCCCATCTTGCTTGGCTTCTGTCCCAAATGCTTCACTCCGCGCCGTGGTCTACCGAGCACACACAGTACATCCTCGCCACCTTGTCACAAGTCACAACATGGTCCACGAGGACCAGCACAGCATGGTAACCCTTAATGACCCTCAGATGCGCTGCATGTGGTCTGAGACGAACAGTCGCTGGCCGGGTTCCAGGGAGAGCCTCAGGCTTGTTTGTTTATGGCTTCGTTCTGTTTAATAACAATCTTGACTTTTTCTAATCCCACAAGCGCTGATTCAGTAGGAAGGTTAAACTCCTTTTCAGGGACTTCCCCGGTACAAGCGAAATGGTTTGCTTGTACAGCATTCTGGGGGTTTGGGGTGGAGAGTGGGGGCTGACTTCCAGGAGGCGGGGAGCAGAAGCAGCCTCCAAGCTGGGTTAACAAACGACAGGGCCCTGGGAGCCCTGGGCAGGAGGCAAAGGAAACTCAATTCACGTTTTACTTTTTGGCAGCGTAAGAGAGAGACACTCAAGACGACCAAGTACGTGGAGCTGGTTATTGTGGCCGACAACCGAGAGGTAAGGGCTCTGGGAAGGTCCTCGGGAGAGCTGCTTTCAAAAAGGGAGCTGCTCTCTTGGAAGTCCTTGGCGGGAACAAGTTTCTGGGAGCATTGTGGAGTGCCCAGGCGGGGAAGGAGCCACGGTGAACCATGGCAATCCCCAAGGGTCCAGGGGGGCCCCACACCGGGTGTTTCCAGGAGCCACGGTGAACCATGGCAATCCCCAGGGATCCAGGGGGACCCCACACCGGGTGATTCCAGGAGCCACAGTGAACCATGGCAATCCCCAGGGGTCCAGGGGGCCCCACACCGGGTGTTTCCAGGAGCCACAGTGTTGAGTCTTGACTGATAATCTTGCCATTAACTAATGCTGACAGTTCACATCCTTAAGTTTCAGAGACAAGGAAAGGACCTGGAGAAAGTCAAGCAGCGATTAATAGAGATTGCTAATCATGTGGACAAGGTAAGCTCTTTCTGGAGCAGTTAAAGCACTCAGGTCTCGGGCTGTCTGGGAATGAGGGAAGGAAGTGCCGGAGGCCTCCGAGCACGGGATCAAAATGTTCCCAGAGGACTGTCCTCTCAGCACATGAGTCCCAGGTCCCCCACGGCTTCTGGATCGTGGTGGCCTTGGGGACATGGCTTGTTCTAGGTTGTGTCTGACCAGACTTGCAATCTGAAGGGATCTTGGACTCCCTGGTTAAATCCTGAGAAGCCCAGTGGGGCTGCATGGGTCGGGGCGGGAGTGGAGGGGGCACTGTGTGCCTCGGGACATCAGCCTTTGCAGAAGTTCTCCTCGGGTTCTTGGGCACACCCTGGCTGGCCACCACTGTCACCAAAGCCACCAGGCTTCTCAGTGCTATGCCTCCCACCTGTGGGAAGGACTGGGGGCTTGGGACAGCACACGAAGGCTAAGGGACCTGTGGTCACTGACCTTTTCTAGCAGGAACCTCACAGCATGGACCAGGAGGGCGCTGCCCTGTGGCCACTGTGACTGTGTTTCCTGGTATATTCCAGTGCAGTTTTTCACACTTACGGAAAAACTAAGGCAGGCCCATCTCTCACACTACAAGGCCTTCTGCACTGTCCCCCAGCAGTGTGCCTCCAGAATTCAGGCACACAATGGCTCCTCCACACATAAAGGTCGTGACTTCCTAAGGAATCAGGTGGACAAACCACTCAGCAGCATCCAAGGGGATGGGCCCTAGCTCCATGCTAGGAATGGAGGTCTCGGGGGGATACAGAAGAGTACGGCTCACTTCTTCCTGAGTCAGGAGGTCTTGGCAGGGAGAGACTGCAGGGAGGGGAGTGCGGTTCACCTGCAGCGGAGCAGGGTGGACTTGGATTGTTCCCCACCAGCCCCGAAGTGACCAGGAGTTCCTGATGACTGCAGGGAGGATGTGTGTGTGTGTGCCTGCTCACATGTATGCACAAATGAACATGTGTGTGCTGTATTGTGCAGTAAATGTGTACTGATGTGTATGTGTGCACGCATGCTCATATGCTCGGGTGAGCATGTGTAAATGCAGCTTGAGCAGGAGGAGACGGGACTGCGGATGCTTCAGACTGGCCCAGGTCCCCGTGAGGCCCAAGGTGTCTTGCCTGTGCTTAGCACTAACAGAAGAGCCAGCCCGGCCTTCTTAAGCAGTGGGGAGACCCACGGGGTGGTGAGAGGAATCCCTGTGGTACGTGTGGAAGGTGGAGCCAGCAAAGCCAAGTGGGGCTGGGAGGAGCCTGCTGCACAGTGAGGAAGCCTGTCCCGGGACAGGGGCGTGAGGCTGTAGGACACAGGAGGATTCAGAGACCTTTAAAGGGGTGTGGCCACTGTAGGAGTGTTAGTGGTCCCTGGGAGCCAGGCTCTAAGCACTGCGCATGCTCTTGGGAGGTGGAGCTTGTCCTGCGCATGCTCTCGGGAGGTGGGGCTTGTCCTGCGCATGCTCTCAGGAGGTGGGGCTTGTCCTGCACGGAGCTGAGGGGGCTGGGGTCTTCAGAGCTCAGTCACTTGCTGAACCAGAAATGAATCTTCTGGCCACGATGGGGCTCTTGGTCTGGACTCTGCTCACATTGAGTGTGAGAGGCAGTAATGGCCCACGTGACCCTGCGCTTCCTGCAGTGGAGTGGCTGGCAGACGCTGCCTTCTACCCCAAGGGAGCAAGGTAGGAAGCACAACTTTGTTGGGCACTCTGGTCAGCCAGGGCTTTGGAGGGTTGGCACTTCGGAAGTGCTTCTAGCTGCCGGGAAGAGCATAGGTGGGCCTTGATACCCTACCAGGCTTGCTGAGGCCTTTTCAGCAGAGCAAGCATCTCCCGAAGTCAAGTGGATGCACAAGAATGCTGGCAAGGGGCCTTCTAAAAGACAGCCGGTGAAGGGTGAGTCTTTGGGTGACTCGGGAGGGAGAGTGAGAGGTGGCTCTCAGTGCAGGCGTCAGTCTGGGGTCTCTGTTTAAATCAGGAGGGGGAGTGTCCCGCCCTCCACAGGCTATGCAAGGCCCATAGAGTCATTTGGTGTGGCCCAGCCAGGAGGGACTTGAAATTCAATAAATCTACAGTAGGCTTATCTTTGATAAAGTTGTACAGCCCCCAAATGATGTTATAAACATCCAAATGTTTCCAACCCCTGGTTTATATAATGGTTTTTGAAAGGCTGATTTCCAAGTCTCAGCCCTTTATTTATAAATATAACTGTATGTGTGTGTATATATATATATATATATATAAAAGAATCCTTCAGTCCTGGGTTCACTCCACAAAAGGGATAGGTCCAGGCCAAAGCCAGGAGCTGAAGCCCCATCCAGGGAGTTGGACGCTCTAGCCCTGGGTGCCCCCCCGTGGCCAGGTGGCAGGTTCCCGCCTGTCCTCAGATTGCACAGGACAGAGGAGGCATCCTTCTCAGGCCCTGGAAGGGAAGGGAATGATGAACAAAGGAAACCCCAACCAGAAGTTGTTGAAAGGCCATTGGCGACTGTTCCATCACACGTTATTCTAGGTCATCTCTCACTTCAGGAGGCAAAACCAGAAATGAGAAGTTGGGGGCTTGTCAGTCAGTCGCACTGGAGCTTGGAGAATGAAAAGTAGTGGAGAAGTCCTGACGGCGGGCTTACGTTTCAGGTGTGTCCAGCCCAAACAGCCCTGCCACCTCCAGCAGACCCCGAAAGTCCTCATGGGCAGCCATGCCTAATGACTGGTGCCCACTGGCTCTTTGTGGGATCCCAAATCATGATTTTGTAGGTCTGCACATTGGCGAGTCGGTGGCCAGAAGGCCAAGGCTGTGCTGGTGGCCATACCCTCGTTGGCTGACACGGTGCTTGGCTCTGCTGCTTCCAAGAGGAAGAACAACCCAGCCTGGAGGACAGAGAAGTGATGGTGACAAAGGGGAAGGCCCCTGCCTCACCGAAAAGCAGAGCATAGTATCTGGTGCTCTTGGCCAGGCTCAGAACACGTCCCTGGTTCAATTCCTCGTGGAGAAGCTGAATGTGTGCCTGTAAATGTGGTGACAGTGGGCACTCCAACTCCTCCTAGAATTTTCTCAGTGACGTATTAATATAATGACCATAGATGTGACCCATCTGAAAGCAAGCTAGACCGCTGCAGTCAACCAATATGTTGCAGTGTAGCTGGTGGTCATCAACTCCTCTGCCAGCCTGGCTCCCACCATCTGACTATGGGGACTCGTAAGGGAAGGGATGAGCCTGCCTGCTGTGGATTAGCATCTTGGCTCAGACATTCCTCACCACACTAGAATGGTGCTTAACTTTCAACTGTGGAGCTTTGAGAGTTCTTGTTATTCTTTGGCCAGATGCTTCTAGCAGCCCAGCATAGATGTGCTCACATCTGGAGGAGTTTGGTCTTCCTGCTCTCTGACTGTCCTTCTCTCTTGGGCCATTGGGGTCCCAGAAGATGAAGACTTGTCATCGCATGGTGCCTCACACACTGCAGACATTAGAACATCCTATAACCCACCAGTGTCCCCGGTCCTCAGCTCCTCCACTGTGAGCTGTCACCTTCCTGACTGTTAGAGCACTCCTCCTGTCCTCCAGCTCTCAGGAGTCAGAACCGTCCATGCTACAGCCACTGCAGCGTGATGCCCTGGCCAGTCTAGGCTGGAGCTAGGAAGACATGAGGGAGGGGCTGGGGGAGTGAGAGGACTGACTCACTCTTCTGAACCAAGGGTGTGTCTGCACTTCCTGTCACAGCGCCTTGCACAAGCAGGTTTCCTGGGGAGCTGTCCCCAGCCCAGCCCTTCTGGCTGTGAGAGGAGGTGATCCTTGCAGCTACTGGAGGAAGACTTTCTTCACGCCTTTATTATTCTGAAAGATATTGACTGACTCATTTAATTAAAGCTTCCTAGGGCGATTAGAGGCAACAGAATTGCGTAGTGTCAGCCAAGGCTGACTCTTTGCTAGAAAAAAAAAAATTAATACAGATTGACTTTCAGTAACTCCTAGGCAGAGCACTTTGCTTCAGATGAACAAATGATTGTCCTCGGCAGTGGTGTCTTCAAAGATCCTGACTCGCTCATTGTTTCTTGTGCGGTGGATGTTAACTGGCGGTCTTTAGCGGGAATGGACATCTCCATGCGCATGTTAAATCACCGCTGAATCATGTGACATGCGCCTGCGTACAAATCCAGGCGGACCATGAAGAGGCTCATAACCCCGGCTGCTAATGGGTCAACATGGGAGAAGCCAGTTAGCCCACTGCTCCGCATCAAGCACTGCACGTGCTTTGCAAAGCCAAATGCCATGGCTTCTTCACCCTCGTCAGTGAACTTCCAACGTTACAAATCAGACCTGAGACTCACAGATGGGATGGGATTCCCAGAGGTGCCTCTCTCGCTCAGTTTTACAGGCCACTGAACATCCGGATCGTGCTGGTGGGTGTGGAAGTGTGGACCGACATCGACAAGTGCTCCATCAGCCAGGACCCGTTCTCCAGCCTCCACGAGTTCCTGGACTGGAGGAAGGTGAAGCTCTTGCCTCGCAAATCCCACGACAACGCACAGCTCATCAGGTGGGCTCTCTGTCCCCGCCCACCCTCTTAGCCCCACCCCCTGTGCCTCTGCTGCCCAGCACGCTGGCTGACCCGGCTTTCCCAGCCCTCAGCATGAGACCCGCCCAGTCCAGGGCTGGTCTGGGCACCTGGGAGCCCCGCTGCTGTGCCAGTCTCACCTCCTTCTCTGTACTTGTCTCTCCTTGCTAATTCTTGCTGTGTTGCTCTTCCTAGAGTGTCATCTTGCCTTGGTTAAGCTTCTTGGGGAAAAAAAAAAAGGCTCATTTGTTTCATTAATGCAAAGTGAATGTCTATACAGCATACAGAGAGGGTGTCAGATGGTTGGAGAAAGATAATCTCTGTTCCTTGTCCTCTCTCACGTGTTGCTCTTAGTCAAGTAACACATTCACACTGTGCTTCTTTAAATCAATATGTACTGAGTTCTTACATGAGGAGCCAGGTTCTAGCAGCCAGCCCTGTAACTCTCCTGTCTCTGGGGAGACTCCGGCCCGCTGAGACAAGATAACAACATCAAAACAAAAAGAAAGAAAAGAGAATTTCAGAGAGTGCTAAGTGCTGTGAAGACAATAAAATGAAGGGAAGCGTAGCTTTGACAGTGCAGTGCGTTGGGGAGCTATTACAAACATCTTTAGCAGAGATCGTGTGGCACGGCGGTTGAGATGCCATTTGAATCATTTAGATATCAGTGTGCCTAGATCCGCCTCCCCATTCAGCTCCCCATTAAGGCACATTCTGAAAAGGAAGAAGATTTTGGCTCAAGCATTTGTGTTCTTGCCCGCCCCCGCGCCCCCCAGAGAGACCTGCATTGGATTCTGGGCTTTGGGGCTTTGGGGCCCAACCTGGCCCAACGCTGGTGTTGCAGAAATGGGAGAAGTAGTTGAAAGGTTTCTCTCTGGCTCACTCTCTCTGCTTCGACTTTTTCAAATAAAATGGGAGAAAAATATGGAAGCCTGATGGAAAGATAGCTATTCAAAAGAGAACATCTCAGTATAAATTGGTGTGAAACAGGTATTTACAGAAGTGACAATTTTTCCTTAAAACTTTCACCAGTTTATGCTGTTCTTTGGTTTGCATGTGGCTTCTAGCACTGAATTGGAAGCTACAGCGGTGGAACTGCTGCTTTTTGGCGAAGCAGACCTCGTTCATAGACCATGTGTGGGATGTCAGAAGCCGGTCCTGCTAGGGGCGCCATATTTTATACCTTGATTAGTCTCGAACCCTTAGAAGCACATTCACATGTTTTGAGTCAAACCTCTTTGTTTTGGTTTTTCCCCCAAATGGAGTTCATCCAACTAGAACATCTGATGCACATGCCTCGTTGTATCTATTCCTATGGCCTCTATAGATGTAGGCGGAAAGGCTGACGTCATTGGTGTGAATATGAGAATCACATGACCCTAGCATCCATGGGATCCTCATCTATAGAGTCAAGCAACCTCGGACTGCAAATATCCGGAAGAAAAAGTCTGTCTGTACTGAACATGCACAGAGCGTTTTCCATAAAGATAGAATTTATTTGAAAGAGTAGCAGAGAGAATCTTTCATCCTCTGATTTATTCTCCCCGAAAGCCCAGTACAGCCAGGGCAAGGCCAGCCCAAACCCAGGAACCAGAAACAGCGTCTAGGTCTCCCACACGGTCGGTGAAAGCCTGAGTATTGTAGCCGTCATCATTTGCCTTCAAGGCTTATTAGCAGGAAGCTGGACCAGAAGCCAGGCACTTCAATAGGGGATCACACACCCCAGATGCAGGTTAACCTACGGCACCCAAATGCTTTTCCCTACAGGGTTGGTTTGTTTGTTTTTGTCATTCTCTCCTTAACAATAACTCTTTATTCAGCATTTCTGTTGTACTAAGTTTCATATTCTAGAGATGATTAACAGTAGTGATGACATGCATAGCTCCTGGACAGTACAATGCCATCTTACCTAAGGGACTTAGTCATTCATACATGTTGGTATTTGAAGGGGCTTCTAGAACCAATGATGTGTGGGTACCAGGGGAGGATGATAATAGAATAGATGGGTGGATGGAGAAGTGTGGCAGAGCGAAGAACAATATTATGTGAACTTGCTAGCTCTGTCCAAGTGGCTATTGTTACTATGTGGCTTTGTAAAGGATGGAGCCACTGTCTGCATCTGCAGGGTGAGGTAGCAGGAGTGAGTCATGTTATTCCCTTCAAGGGGATTCAAGCAACACAGCGTTACATTTTTAGTGCATGAGTCAGAATGAACATCACTGGGACCAGACAGGCCCTTTCAGTCATTGAACGAAGGACCAGGTTAGGATCCTAGGTAGAACAAAGCTTCCCCCGCAACCACAAAGTCCCCTTCTGGAAGCTTCCTCCCTGGGTGCTGAGGCCTTGTGTGTGTTTACTTGTTCTCTGGCTCCTGAGACCCACTATTTTTCTGCTGATTTCTGTATTGTGTTAGGAAATTTTGTAAGAGCTGTCATGTGCCACGCAGGAAAGCAAAACTCAGCTCCAGCAAAAAATCTAGGAAGCCATCAGATGCCGTTCTGTGAGATGCTCTGTGGCTGCTCACGGCTGTCGGCAGGTGGCCTTGTTCTGGGGGAAATACGCAGGGCACAGTTCACAAGTACTAGCCAAGGATGATTGCAAAAGGAAAACTTAAAGGAGAAAAGATAAAATTCATGGGTAAATGTACTTCACAGCTGTTTCCGCTTGTGTGTATTTTATGGCAGAAATCTCTGACAGAATTTCAAGTGTTAGAAAATGCCTCGGTTCTGCATTAAAGCAAGCCCTTTCTTTTGTTCCCTAGTGGGGTTTCCTTCCAAGGCACCACCATCGGCATGGCGCCCATCATGAGCATGTGCACTGCGGAGCAGTCTGGAGGTGTCGTCATGGTAAGTTCAGGGAGCTTGCTCCCCTCCCTAATGATTTCCCCAGGGAAACACTGCTTTGATCAGACTTTGTGAAGTTAGTTGCTAGTTCCTTTTGTACTTTCCTTTTCTTAAAAAAAAAAAAAAAAAAAAATGGGGGTTTGGGGAGGGAAGAACAGAAAGAGACAGACTTAGAGAAAGACTGTTCAGTGGTGCCCGTAACGGTCAGGGCTAAGCTGGAGCTGAAGCCAAGAACTGGACTCTCAGTTCAGGTCTCCTAAGCAGGTGGCAGGCACACAATCATGTGAGCCATCGCCATGGCCTCCCGGGTGCACATTAACAAGAAGCCAGAGTTGAGCCAGGAAGCCAGCTCTAATACTCCGCTGTGGAATGCGGGGTCTTGCCATGAGGCCAGATGCCTGCCCCCCAACCCTTTTCGCATTTCACTCCATTCTTATGCTAATTACCTTTGTGATCCTGTATAAGCCACTGCATGCAGGACTGTGACTGAAACCCAGACAGCACCTAGGGCAGGTGGAGTGGAAAAGCAGCTTGGCAAACAGGTCTGCACCTTGTGTGGGGAAGCTTGGCCTGCTGGGACTTGGGGCCTGAGTCTCTGGAATGCCCCCAGCACGGGGATGAGCGGCTCCCTGGGTCCCCTTCTGCCCTGCTTCTTGGATGGGGCCACGGTGTCACCAGTTGGGACCATTCACTTGCTTTTCTACTCCCAGGCTCAGCAGCCACAAGTCTGAGGCTTTTAACTATTTACCATCACAAATGCCGTGCATACCTTCTGCTGGTGCACAATTTGTCTTTATAATAATTTTTTTCTTGGAAGGCAGGACTAGGTTTATGGCTCCACAAGGATGATATTGTCATCTATGGACTATATGTGTTTATGCAAGGAAGTCAGATGGAAGTCAGATTGGAGACCTCTGAAGACTGAGAGGACAGGCTTTGGTGGACTGCCCAGCGGGGTCCTGTGCTGCGCTGTGCTCCATCATGGCTTTCCAGGAGGGACTTTCATCTCTGCCAACCCTACTGACAGTTCAGTGCACCCTGAGCCCCAGTCCTCAGGCGGGCAGTTCACTCAAACCATCCCTCCATCCTTCCAAAAAACCCAGCATTCCTCTGGATTTCGCAAACAGAAGTCATTGCTATTGGGTTGTATGAGACTGCCTGCCCAGTCTTCTTGGACAAGACACACAAACTCACTGCTCCCTGGCTGCACCTGCTGGGTGTCAGTGGAGACGCACTCTGGACCGGCGGCTGCCTGCAGGGGCTCGCCCACCTGCTGGACTTCTGGCTTGAGCAGGATACTATACTAAAGTATTGTAATAATAATATAGAGGAAATCAGGAGGTGGGGAGAGAATTTGGGAAAGGGGTAAGAGAAATCCCAGAACCTATGGAACTGTATCATAAAATAATAATGATAATAATAATGAAAACACTGAAGAAAACCAAACTTACTGGACCGGGATTGTGGCATAGTAGGTAAAGCTCCTGGCCATGACATTATCACCCCATATGGGGCCAGTTCATGTTTTGGCTGCTCCTCTTCCAGATCCTTACCAAGGGCTTGCGAAGAGCTGGTAAGATGTCCTAAGTGCTTTGATCCCTGCTGCTCACATCGGAAACCCAAAGTCGGCTCCTGACCCCTGCCTCCTGACTCGGGCCTGGTCCAGCCCTGGCTATTGAGGCCGTTGCAGGAATAAACCAGTGATGAAATAACTCTCTCGCTTTCTCTTTGTATGTCTCCCTGTTGCTGTAGTTCCTTCAAATAATCTGGGGGAAAAAAAAGCACATGGGAAAAGTCTGATTTTGTTTTTGATTTTTAAGACCTATGAGGGTTCATCAAAAATTTCACAGAAAAGGCAATTTTGAAAAAAAAGAAATGTGTGGGTATTCAATTTTGCACCAAACTAAACTTATCTTGTAGTTCCATTTTTCTGTGAACCCCCACATTTGAGAAATCAATGTGGGGGACCGACATAATGGCTCAATTGATTAATCATCTAGCTATAAGTGCTGGGATCCCATGTGGACACTAGTTCGTATCCCAGTTGCTCCACTTCCCATCCAGCTCCCTGCTTGTAGCCTGGGAAAGCAGTCGAGGACGACCTAAAGCCTTGGGCCCCTGCACCCATGTGGGAAATCCAAATGACACTCCTGGCTCCTGGCTGTGGACAGGCTCAGCTCCGGCCATTGTGGCTATTTGGAAAGTGAACCAGTAGATGGAAGATCCTTCTGTCTGTTTTTCCTCCTCTCTGTAAAACTACTTTTCCAGAAAAAAAAAAAATGAGTATCTTTTTTAAAATAAGAAAATCAATGTGAAAGACAGAAGTATGTACAGTGCAGAAAGAGTCAAGGGAAGGCTAGAGTTCACTTTCAGGAATTATGCCTTTCCCAGTTGAGGAGCAGTTGCCGTCACCCTGCACGTGGAAGAGGAATGTTGGGGCTGGCCTGTGGCATGCTTGCGCCAGTGGCGTCCAGGATTGCAGTGATGATTGGGTCCTGGCAGCTTCACGTCCAACCGAGCTTCCTGCTGATGTACTTGGCAGAGCAGTTGACGAGGCCCCACGTACTGGGCGCCTGCACCTACGTGGGAACCCCTCCAGGAGCTGCAGATTCCTCCAGGAGATCTGGCCCAACCCTAACCACTGGGAGCAAGGGAGGATGTCACTGGCTCTCCCCACCCAGCCCGGCGTTCCTCTCTCTTCGCTTCCACTTTCCCTCCTTTTTCTGTTACTCTGCTTTTTAAATCAATATTTTAAAGAGAAAGAGAGAAGAGAAACAAGCCTTAGGATGACAGTGCCACAGCATCTTGAATTTCTCTTTAGAAACTCCCCAGATCAGCTTCTCAGGCAGATGCAGCCAGCAGTCCCTGTGTGTGCCGTTGAATTCCCGTGGCCACGCCTCACTCCAGTACTCTCTAAGAGGAAGCAAATAACGGAGCAAGGAAGTTAGGATCATCCTAAAACTAACATGATTTTTAGTACCGTTTCTCCATTTTCCGATATGAAGTAAATAGTTGAGTAATTTAAAACCACAGCTTTGTCTCTAACCGCCCTAAAACAGTCTTGGCTTGGGAATAATAAATAGTGTGAACAAAGAGATTGTTTATTTCCTTATTGCAAATGTAAACTGTTTACCAGGGTCTCTTAAGAGACATTCTGATTATAATCATTTATGTATGAAAGAATGGAAAACAACTCAGCAATTAAAAACAAGCCAGGGGTACTCAGTGGCACACTAAGCAGAGGTGGAGTCTTTTAAGGATGAATTCCTCGCGTTTTGCTCCAAGGCGTGCCAGCTGCAGCCCCTGGCATTCCTTGATTGGCTGCACTCTGCTTGCCAACACGCTCAATTTCCTACAACATGTTGTGAAGCTTCCTACAAGAGGAAGCTGAAGTCTAAACAAAGTAATTCATTAGGAATTTCATCTCTTCTGGGAATAGCTGGCTTCCTGGACATTCCCATCTTTTCTTAAACTGAGGGCAGCTACAATCAGAAACGCTGCCCACGAACTTGTGCAAGTCCAGGAATACACCGGAAGACTATTCCTTAGGAACATGTTTGCCGGCACTTTCTTAGGAATCTCCTTGGCTCTCTAGCTGTAGCACAAATCCAGATCCAAGCAAGTCCCAGTCCTCCTCGCTCTGCAGGGTTCAGACCTTGCCAGAAGCCCCATTCAGGGCTGGACTTGCTGGAGATCACATTCACTGCTTAAGTAAATGCATCTTACTTAAGACTGAGTTATTCATTCCAAAGGCAGAGGTACCAATGGGGTGGGGTGGGTACAGCAAGATCTCACACCTTTCAAAATGGCCGCAAGGGTCAGGAGTTGGGCCAGACTTACACCAGGAACCTCAATCTCCCAACAGTTCTCCCATAGAGGTGGTAGGGGCCCAAGCACTTGGGGCAACTTCCACTTCTTTCCAGGGGCATTAGCAGGGAACTGGTTCAGAAGTGGAGCAGCTGGAGCTTGAACTGCTAATCACACATGATACCAGCAGGCAATGGCTTAACCCACTATGCCAGGACCCGGATCCCATTTCTAATATCTGTCTGAGGCCAGCCATCCACACACTCTGTTAAGTCAGCAGAGGTTTGAGCAGCGCTTCCTGGACAGAGAAGCCACCTTCGGAGGGCAAGTCAGGTTATAGAGCACCAGTGTGCGTGCAAAGGGACGCATTGCAATGTTCACTCAGTGTGAGCTGCCCAGCGCTCTCCCCAGCAAGTGGACAGGAAAAGGCATATTCCCTCACCAGTGCTCAGAGGATGCAGAGCATCACACCTCTGGTCAAGGACCAAGTGGCGTGTCCATTACCCACAAAGGCATATGTTCACACCCTGCGCTGCAGGGCCGCTCTGCTCGGGCAGCCATGACTGGTGAGAGGTGGTGGGACACACGGTGGTGGCGGCCACTGCGCTTGTCCACCTGAAGAACCCGCTGCTTGCTACCAAGCACTGAGGATTGGGTTAAGTGGTGCTGGGAGCTGGGACTGCCAGGGCAGGAGGCAGATCAGCAACAGGAGATGTGAGCTCGGTCTCTTGTATTTCTTTGAGGACCATTCAGACAGCCCCCTTGGTGCGGCCGTGACCCTGGCACACGAGCTGGGCCACAACTTCGGGATGAACCACGACACCCTGGAGCGAGGCTGCAGGTGCAGGACAGCTGCTGACAAAGGAGGCTGCATCATGAACCCCTCCACTGGGTAAGTACCATTGCTGCCCGGGGTCTGCAAAACTACAAGCAACCCCAGCCACGGTTGGGGAGGCAGCTGGGCACAACGCTGCCCTGGCCAGACACTCAGGGATACTTCCAGAAAGAGATCGCTCCTTCAGTAGCCCCTGTGGACCTTGCTGCTCTGAGAGTCATGGCTAGCTGGAAGGGAAAGGACTGAGCTCTTGCTGTGGAAGAAAGATGGGTAACTGTCTTGGTTCAGAACCTACATATTCTCCCTGGTCTCGCCACTTGCTGATTTGTGTCTACAGCTCTGGCTCTGCAAGGGTTGCCAGCTGAGTGCCTTGTCGACCCCTGGACAGAGCTGAAGCAGTTCTAGGTGCACAGGGCCATGGGGTCAGAGGTGTCTTCCCCTCAGGATGGGCTCTGGAGTGTAGCCGGAGCAAGCTCTGCTTGGAAATGAGTCTGGTGCCATATTGCCTGTCAGATCTCAGGGTTTCAAGCCAATGGTTGTGCAGCAGGGCGTGTTGCTCTGCCTTGTTTAAAGCCTTTGTAACCCCAGACTTGGTTCAATCAGAGTAAAAAGAAGACAGTTTCGTTACTGGAGCATTCAGAGGAGGTGGGGCCAGCATGCCCTACACTGACTGGAGACTCCTGTGCATGCTTGGAATTCTACAGACCTATTCCAGCTGGAAGTAGGTGGCAATTTCAGGAGATTCTCATTAGTAAGGAGGAAGAGGCCCTGGAGACCATGCAGTCTTCCCTGAGTACCCCTTGTCAACACTTGGCCTTTCTGGAACTTTCCAAGCCCAGCCTGTGTGGCAGGTCCACTGACAGGGCACAGCAGGAGCGAGAAGTGTGTGCTGACCACACAGTCTGAAGACTGGTCTTTGGGCCATCTTGCTGGTGAAGGCACAGCTTGGAGGAGGCGGCTGCCTGCTGCAGAGGCTGCGTGGTCCCCAGAGGGGGAAGAGTTATGGAAGAAGGGCTCTTCATACGGTGGCCTGGAGACTTCCTGTCAGGTGCTTTGTAGGGGAGCAGCTGCCCCTAAAGCAGGGATGGAGCAGAACCACACATCAGGTGTAAGGCATCCGTGGGATGCTGAGAAAGCATTGTCTCCACTTCTTTTCTGTTGCTGCAGCACAACACCTGAGCCATGATGATTTACCCAGAGTAGGATCCACTTTGCTCCCATCTTTGGGGGCTGGGAAGCAGAGGCTGGGAGCCTAGGAGCCTGACACCGGTGTCTGGGGAGGGCTGTTTTCCTGCCTCAGACATTGGCACAGGGACTTCTGCAGTGAGACAGGTCAAGCAGCCAGGCAGGCCAGTCTTCTTCTCCCAACAGATGCCAACATGAGGCACCACTCTCAGGACGTCATTTCATCCTATGTACCTCCAAACTCAGGCACTTGCCAGTTAGGGGGCGCCCATTAAGGCAACACCATTAAGGTATCTTTTTATAATGGTTTACTGTTGTTCTGTGTCCCCACTGCCGCTACAGGGCCTGCGGGTTGTCTCTCCTGTACAGCACTGCTTCCGACACGAGCCAGAGGAGGGCACATTCTGAAGTCCTTTACACAGAAACCAAAGGGTTGTGCCTAATAGACACAGCAGGAAGTGGGCAGGGCCAGGCTTGGGTCCCACCAAGTGGAACTGTCTGAGAGGGAGTGTACATGCTCATTGTCGTTGTGCCCAGCAGCCCAGTGGCCACACGGAGCCAGTATCCGGGGGCAGCACACTGATGCCAGGCTCAGAGAGCAGTGGCCTCATGTCTCCCTGGAAGACACACTGTGCTCTCCTTCCTGGCCCACAAGCAGGTGCTCCTGCTCGACAGGATTCCTGCTGGGATTTAGGGGTTCATTTAAAACAAACAAACTGGGACAGAGAGTCTAGATAGGAAATGTTGGAGGGGCACTGGGGGCCGGGGGGCCCAGCTTTTCTCATCTCTAAAGCCAGGAGGAAGTCCCATCCCTGCCCCTTCTCTCCCTCCCTCCCTTCCTGTGTTGAACTGATGTTTCTGCTGTGTTCAGTGTGTGAGGAGTGCTCCCATGAGTGCTCCTGTATCCTGAACTTGAGTGAGGCGTAGGGGGGCAGTAACGAAGCTGCGCTCAGCCAGGCTGAGCGATGGAAGTAAATTACCCTGGAGACATGTGGACACCTGGGGCAGATGTGGAATTATTAGGAACTCAGCAAATCACTGAAAAGGCTCTCTCTCATTCTCACTCTCTCTGCCTTGCCGGGGGTTGCTAATAGCCTTTGCTTGATTTATAGTTTATTACCAATTTCTGAGTTTTCTTCTTTGCTGAGCTATGCTTTCACGTAAATCTTTTCTATTTGGTTCTCGTTTACGATCCCGCATTCCTGTCCAGAGAGCCGTGTTTTTAATTTTCCAGGAGGGAAAGCAACTTCCTAAGCAAGTGGGAGAATCCATCACACAGGCCCACAGGAGTGCGGGGGAGGCAGGCCGGCCCTCCTCCACCAGCCATTACCCATGGGGCAATCCCCAGCTGCCCCGGGGTTATCTCGCGGTGTCTCGAGGGGGATTACATGAGATCACGAGTCTTTGTAAGCTGCGAATCATTCCATGAATGTGAGGTGCTATCGTCATTATTATTAGTTAGCTCTCAGCGACTTGGGAGCTATCGAAAAGTTTGAGGCTTTTTGTAGATTTCCTTCCCACAGTTTCTGGAAAGTTCTTCCAGCACCACTTAGCAGGCACTCAGCAACGCGTCCACAGACTGTGTGAGGATGGCTCATTTTTCTTCTAATTGGAAAGTCAGAGATACAGAGAGGAGGAGAAACAGAGAGGAAGATCTTCCACCCAATGATTCACTCCGCAAGTGACCACAGTGGCCGGAGCTGAGCCAATCTGAAGGCAGGAGCCAGGAACCCCTTCCAGGTCCCACACAGGTGCAGGGTCCCAAGGCTTTAGGCCATTGTTGATTGCTTTCCCAGGCCACAAGCAGGGAGCTGGATGGGAAGTGGGGCTGCCGGGATTAGAACCGGCAGAGAATGGTTCACTTTAAACAGGCAGTGTCCAAACACCAGCCTCCCGCCTTCTTCATCCCAGTACTGATGGATTCAGCCATGGTGGCAAACACTAAAAATGTTCATTTGCGTCTCAGCCCCAGAGGTGACTCGGAAAGAGATGAAATCAATAAGCATTGCAATGATATCAATGCATGATAATTGTTATTAGTTACTGATAGTAACAGCAAATGTTAACTGGTGGTATTCATGGCATCAGAGTCAAAAAGAACCAGCTCTCGAAGGTTTAAAAGGGAAGAAAATCATAGCAATTAGTGGACCTTGTTTATCCTTCGCTCTGAAGATGTTAACCAAATGCCATCACGGTCGAATTGGCCCCGACGCGCTGCACGCAGGGTCCTGCTCAGGCTTCCATGCTGTGCCTGCGGCTGCAGCGCTCAGAGTTTCCTTATGGGTTATATCATTAATTACTGTGAGTCTTTGAGTGTGTGTGAGAGCGTGTTTTATGTCTTTGGATAGCTAGCACTTACGGCCTGTCTTGGAAATCACTCTTTAGCAAAGGCAGCATCCGGGGAGCCACGTGGGAGTCCAGCTCAGCCGGGCCTGTACGTTAATGAGCTTCCTGGAGCCCTGGGCCACGGGGTGGAGAGCCAGGCGGGCTGCATTCGGCAGAGCAGGGAAATGTGAAAGATGGGAAGACTTTCAACAAAGAGTATTTCACATAATAATAGCTTCCTGGAGTGGAAGAAAATGCAGAATTACCCTGGAAAATGGTTCTCTAAGAACCCCTCTGTTTTGGAGGAAGTTTTCTTGCTAAGAGGAGAGTGGACCTCCTAGGGCAATTCCATCAAACAGTGCAGTGGGCCCCGCAGCACCTGTCCAGCATGATTCCTGTACAGGTCCCGGTCAGGGGATGGGTGTGAGTTGGACACACAGAGTTCTTGCTGTGCTGGAACTTGTAGTCTATGGGGAAATAGATCAGGAAAGTAGCCAGTTACAAACTTGTAGGCTGAGGTCCAGTGCAATGGCTCAGTAGTTAATTGTAACCTTGCAAGTGCCAGGATCTCTTATGGATGTCAGTTCACGTCCCAGCTGCTCCACTTCCCTTCTAGCTCCCTACTTATGGCCTAGGAAAACAATAGAGGATGGATTAAAGCCTTGAGAGCTTGTATCTGGGAGACTCAGAGGAAGCTCCTGGCTTCTGGCTTCAGATCAGCGCAGTTCTTTTGGGGAGTGAACCAGTGAATGGAAGATCTTTCTCTGTCTCTCTTTCTCTCTGTAAATGTGCCTTTCCAATAAAAATAAATTGTTGTTTTTTTTAAAAAGCAAACAAACCTTGCAGGTTGGACGGAGTGTTATGAAGGAAGGGAATGGAAAGGAGAGAGGTGGTGTGGGAGGTGGGAAGACCCAATGGGGTGATGGAATAGAAGGGGAGGCAGCAGAAAGCCTGTACCAAGAACAGAACGCTGAGCTTGGAGGCAAGGGCCGCGTGTGCAGGGGCAGAGGCAAAGAGGCTGCGAGGCTGGAGGTGCGAGGGGGAGGGCAGGCCCTACAGAGCCCACCCTGCTAGGGAGGGACAAGGAAGACCATGTCCAGGGCAGCTGGGAATCATGGGAGGTTTCCCAGCCAGACGGGGCTGCTCTAACTTAGTGCCTGAGGATTATGTGGCATCTGAGCTGCTGCCGCTGCCACCGCTGTGGTTAATGTGTCTGTGCCAAAGCAAGCAGAGGTCTTCCCTCCAAGATGCAGGCATGGTCTGTGCGTGGCAGTCACATTCCTGTGGAAACCCCAGGATGCGGAAGGATCCCGCATTCATGTACTACAGGCAGTGTGTCTGCTCCCACACTCACACACTCGCCTCTCATGGCCCACACATTGCTAGAACCGAGCTATTTCTGATCAAGACTTCACTCTCCCTGTGTGTGTATCCTAAGGACTCTACTCCATGGAAGAGCATCCCATGCCCTGTGTGTGCTTGTCAGAGCATCCCATGCCCTGTGTGTGCTTGTCAGAGCATCCCATGCCCTGATGGGATGAGCTCAG